CAACATATCGCATCACGGCTGATGCATTGAGTTTCTATGTACATATTTTCTGTATGTTTAAAGTCTCTAATGGGAGTTACTTGATCAACATGTTCCATTCTTTATTATACTCCACTGCCTCCTCCACTGATTTCAGTCCACCAGTCCACCGCAAGGGATTGTGGTCCGAACAGAATCACTTAGGGTGACGAGAACTGAGAAGAACTGCAGATAATTCATGTGGGATTTGGTGTGTTGCTGAAAAATCTAAACTCTCAATCCTCCATAAAAGCGGTTTATGATCCACAAAGTAAAAACAATTATATGTGTGACTCAGCGGTTCATCTCAAGCTTCTTGTGCAGATGTTTTTTTTTGCATCGAATAAAAAAAAGACTAATAATCTATATTTTACAAAAGCGTGTATTTATATCATTCGCCATCATCACAACTCTGTGTCCGTCAGCCCTCCGGCCGTCTCTGATGACGAGTCCATTCATCACACATAACGTCCACGAGAGCACTCAGTCCCACTCAATAACCCCCCCATCCATCCATGCTTCCTAGGCTTTATTAATGGAACCCGCAGAGACCCGGCCCTCCTTTAATGGCATGTGACAACCCTGACCGAGGACTGACCTGCCCATCTCACCTTAGTGCTTGTTGAGTGCGTGTGTGGATGTGTGCACGCACCCTGTATTCATCCGTTTGAGGGCAAACATATTATAAATATAGAGAGATGGAACCGATCCGATGATGTAATCACGTGTGGGTTATCCATAGAAATATGTAATGGTGGAGAATGTCCCTCCGGGCTGTATTACAGCTGCAAAGAAGCTAACTAGCTACGTTAGCATTGTTAGCATGAGGGGGAGTGGCTGCTCTGAGCCCAGAACAGGAGATACACATGATAAACACATTACTGCTGTACTACCGGGGGAACATGGACAGCCTGCTGTTTGTTAGAAAACTCTGGTTCTGAAAAGTGAAGCCTGCATTCTCTCTAGTGTCCACCAGGGGGCGACTCCTCTGGTTGTATAGAAGTCTATGAGAAAATGACTCTACTTCTCTCTTGATTTATTACCTCAGTAAACATTGTAAACATGAGTTTATGGTCTCAATCTCTAGTTTCAAGTCTTCTTCAACACAGCATGATGTTCATTTAGTACATTATGGTCCATTTAGAGTCACACAGACCATAAAGCAGGGGATGCTTTTAGTCATCTAAAAATGTCTTATTCAGCATTCGGTTGTTTTTGGCTCCTCCCTCTCGTGTCACTTCTGGTTGCAACACACACACACACACACACACTTGTTTCTTTAATGTGTGCGAGTTGTATCTGGTGGCTCAGAGACGCTATCGTGCCATCATCAGACACGGGCAGCTAGAGTCAGTTAGAGAGAGGCAGGCCTCCATCCTCCATCCGATAGCATCCCATTAAAGACGACGCTCACAGATGAGTAATGATTAGCTCGTCGTTCCTCCTAATAATGAAATGCTGTTATTGCCTAATTTGGGTAGAAGCCGGTTAGAGTTCTCTGTGAGTAACACTTTACTGTGTGTGGCCAAAGCTCTGCTCTCCTGATGAGAAAAACCTCCCTCCACTTAAATGGCTTCATGTTGGGCTGAAGTCTGTGACTAATGAGGACGAGGGTTCCAAATGAGCTTTTTGTTTTCTGTGTTTGTTTGTTACCATTCTGCTTTTTTCTTTACTATCTTTATCCAACCGACTGTGACAGAACTGCTTCATCAAATCATAAAAACGAATATCGTGAGGACAACCTTTGAAGTAGATTATTGTTCATAATTCATCATTGGAACCGTTTGCCAAGTCCTCAATTAACAACCAGCGCTGTTCTCTGTGATCCGTCAACGAGGAAGTATTTCATGACAGAAACTTGTTCTCTGGATATCGACAAGAACATTCTAAAGGATACAATTCTAAAGGGTCAGTTCAGCCCAAAACCAAAGACACAGATGTTTCCTCCTCTCTGTAGTGCTGCTGGATCGAAAGCCAATCACTGATTTCAGTCACGGATCAGATCAGTTAAAAAAAAAACGGAGCAAATAGAAGTAATAGGAGACGTCCGAATCACGATTATTTTTTTTTTGCCACCGATAACAATTGCTGATCATTGCTGATCCATATCGGTCAGTACAGACTGTTGTTGTTTTGTGGTATAAAATGCTCCTGGCTGCTTTTTTTTCACCACCGTCCCAAAGCTCAACAACATTCTAAATGTTATCCTTTTACTTTGTTACAGTGATTTATAGCAGTTAACACAAAACACACACAATTCAAATGATTTAGGAAATAAAATAATATATTTGTATTGATTAAAAGCATCTTATTAGTAGTTTCAATGATTTATTATAATCTGCTTAATGTTAGTCTAATATCTATTTTATTTTGTTGTGAAAACATCTTCATACTACTGGATTTATTAAAGTTTCTCATTAAAGACTACATGTGAAAAGAGGAATGTTTAGATAGAAATGACTCAGAACCACACGGCGATACG